TCAAGCTTGGATAGTGATTTCTAAAAGGCTGAGCGCAATAATCTGTCCTCTATTTTTAAAGTCAGGATGTTTTATTTTCGCTGTATAAACCTTCAAAACGCTCTGCCACCTTCACCAATTTGAGGTTTGGAACGGGGGTGGAAGTCACATCAAAGCCCATTGTATAATGTGTGACCTGCTTCCTATGGGATCTTAAAGCATCCCTCAGAAACAGCTCCCACCGCATCACTAAATCTGTACTTCGCAATAGTTTCACACATAGTTCAAAACTTCTACAGTATGAGCCAACTTTGGAAAAGGACAGAGATCTAGAACTGGATTACCCAGTGCCTTTTACACCTTGCTTAGACTTGGAACACATTCCATTTTTTTTTAAAAACCATTATGACAATTAGGATTTAAACCAAAATTACAGAGCTTTCCAATCCTCTTGGGAGCCAACTCTTCTGGCAAATTTTTAAAACCAGTAACAACTTACATTTGTAAAAAACAGCTTTAACACTCCAAGGTGATTCACTCAGTTATTCATAAAATCTGACAGTCACGTGAAGCTACTGAGTTAGGTAACAAGAAGCCTCCCTAGAATTTGGCTTTAAGCAGCATCTTAAGAGGAGGAGGAGGAGGAGAGAGACAGGTAGAAGGGTTTAAACATGAAATTCCAGGCAATAGGGCCCAGAAAGCTGAATGCAATGAAAGAGCAATAAAATCATAGAGATGTGCAGCACAGAAACAGACCCCTCAGTCCAACTCATTCATGCCAAGCAGATATCCTAAATTAACCTAATGGGGGAGGTGTTAGCCTGGTGGTATCAATCGCTGGGCTGCTAATCCAGAGACCCAGATAATATTCTGGGGACCTGGGTTCAACTTCCACCACAGCAGATGGTGGAATTTGAATTCAATAAGAAAAAGCTAGGATTAAGAGTCTAATGATGACCATGAATCCATTATCAATTGTCGGAAAAACCCATCTGGTTCACTCATGTCCTTTAGGGAAGGAAACTGCCATCCTTACCTGGTCTGGCCTACATGTGACTCCAGGCCCACAGCAATGTGGTTGACTCTGAACTGCCCTCTGGGTAATTAGGGATGGGTAATAAATGCTGCCCTAGCCAGCGATGCCCTCATCCTGTTAAGGAATAAAAAAAAACTCCACCCATTCGCCAGCACTTGGCCCTTTTCCCTCTAAACCCTTCCTATTCATGTAACCATCCAGGTGTTTTTTAAATGTTGTAATTGTACCAGCCTCCACCACTTCCTCTGGCAGCTCATTCCATACAGGCACCACCCTCTTGTGTGAAAATGTTGTCCCTTTGCTCCCTTTTAAATCTTTCCCCTCTCACCTTAAACTCATGCCTCTAGTTTTGGACTCCCCTACCTTGGGAAAAAGACCTTGGATACTCACCCTATCTGTGCCCCTCATGATTTTATAAACCTCTATAAGGTCACCCCTCAGCCTCCAATGCTCCAGGGAAAATAACCCCAGCCTATTCAGCCTCTCCCCATAGCTCAAACCCTCCAACCCTGGCAACATCCTTTCAAATTTCACAACATTCTTCATGTAGCATGAAGAATGCTCCAGACTGCAGAAGCAGAGGAGTACAGAGATGAGCGAAGAAGGATAAAGCTCAGGGAGATTACACAAATGGACTGGCTAACAAGGATGAGCATTTTAAAACTGAGATGCTGCAGACTGGGATCCAACATAGGTCAGGTTCATGGCAGACCTACAAATCCAAGATCCAATTTTATAGAAATTATTGGTGCAAGCAATCACTCTGTCTCAATCTCACCACCACCCACTCAGGACTGCTTCCTAGAAAGTTACTTAAAATATTTTCAAAATGCAGCCGCAGCAACCTGCACTGAAAGAATGGTTTAATTCATCACCGAGTCAATTGTCACCTTAAATATCTTCAGAATTATAACCTTATAATGTGCTCACATGCCTCTATTATTCCGAGTATACTGGCCTTAGGCATTCTATGATCTCCTAAACTCAATAACAGTATCTCTCTCTCACTCTTAGACATGATTGCTACAGTTTTGTATGAATAACTCAGTTTGCACAGAAGCTCAGCTGTTTAAATGTGGTTCCCTCTTCCATTGAGAATACAAGCCCTCTCATTCCTGGACCAAAAATAAAAATTGGCCAACTGGAGAATTCTAGCAGCCTCCATTTTAAATACAGCGTTTGTCCATCTTCTGGATCACCAGTGCAATGGCCTAGTGGTATTATCGCTGGACTGTTAATCCAGAGACACGGATAACGTTCTGGGGACGCAGGTTCAAATCCTAAAAATGGGGGAATTTGAATTCAATAAATGTCTGGAATTAAGAATCTGATGAAGACCGTGAATCCACTGTCGATTGTCAGAAAGAATCCACCTGGTTCAATCATTTCCTTTAGGGAAGGAAACTACCATCCTTACCTGGTCTGGCCTACATGTGACGCCAGACCCACGGCAATGTGGTTGACGCTTAACTGCCCTCTGGGCAATTAGGGATGGGCAATAAATGCTGCCTGGCCAGTGATGCCCTCATCCCATGAATGAATAAAGGGAAAAAAAGAGCACACTGCTAATCCTAATCCCATGGACATTCCAGCAATCATGGCCATCACCATTTTAGAGAGGAGACGGCTAAAGAAATTAATAGCCAGGCGTCCATCCCTCCGCACTGGATACAACGGGGACCAGGGGTTCAGGGATGAGAAGAGGCAGGGAACATTATGCTATTGTACAAATTTAGACCGAAAGATGCAAAGAGCACACTCCAACCCCAGGAAACAGAACGGTTTGTCTGGATGTAGAAAGGACGTTTCCTCATGTGGAAATCTGAAACAAGACGGCATAATTGTAGGATGGGGATAATAAATTTAACACTGAGATGAGGAGCAATTACTTCTCTCAAAAAGTCACAAATCTGAGAATTCGCTATCCCAGAGTGTCGTGGACGCTGGGACATTGAGAAATTTTGAGGATGAAATAGGCAGATATTTAGTTAAAATGGGCTAAAGGGTTAGGGAGAGCTGGCAGGAAAGTGGATTTGAGGCTCTAATGAGATCAGCCATGGTCATATCAAATAGTGGAGAAGGCTCAAGAGGCTGAATGGCCTCTGCCTGCTGCTAGCTCTCATGCCTATTAAATAGTGTTGATGTTTTTTAAGATAGTAAATTTCTGCAGCAAGAGAAGGTGACTTGGCCTATCACATTCAGTCCATCACTCAATTCGATCGTGACAGATTGGTCTGTGATAATCTCGACTCTCCTGTCTATCCATTGTACTGCAGTGATTCTACCCCTAAAAACAGCACAACAGGTTTGTTTAGAACACATCAGGTGACTCCATTTCAAACATTCCCTCAGCATTTCTCAATGTGAACAACTCAGTTCTAAACTGAAGGGAAAAGCCTGGATACACAACTTGGTTATAGAAACACAGAAGATAGGAGCAGGAGGAGGCCATTTGGCCCTTCAGCCTTCGTGGCTGATCATCCAACACAATAGCCTAATCCTGCTTTCTCCCCATAACCTTTGATCCCATTCACCCCAAGTGCTATATCTAGTTGCCTCTTGAATACATTCAATGTTTTGGCATCAACTACTTCCTGTGGTAATGAATTCCACAGGCTCACCACTCTTTGGGTGAAGAAATGTCTCCTCATCTCTGTTCTAAATGGTCTACCCCGAATCCTTATACTGTGACCCCTGGTTCTGGACACACCCACCATCGGAAACATCCTCCCTGCATCTACCCTGTCCAGTCCTGTTAGAATTTTATAAGTCTCTATGAGATTCCCCCCTCATTCGTCTGAACTCCAGCGAAAACAATCCCAACCTTGTCAATCTGTCCTCATACGTCAGACCCGCCATCCCCGGAATCAGCCTGGTAAACCTTCACTGTACTCCCTCAAGAGCAAGAGCTTCCTTCCTCAGAAAATGAGACCAAAACTACACACAATATTCCAGGTGTGGTCTCACCAAGGTCCTGTATAACTGCAACAACACATCCCTGCTCCTGTACTCGAAACCTCTCGCAATGAAGGCCAACATACCATTTACCTTCTTTACTGTCTGCTGCACCTGCATGCTTACGTTCAAAACGTCTTCGGTTCAAAATTATAAGAAGGCAGGCTTTCAACCCATGGAGTCTTCCCTGGTCAAAAAGCAACCTGCCACTCCCATTCCCCCCGACCCGCCCCGGTCATTGTGCTGTACCAGATATGGCAGGGTCACATACAAAGTAAAGCTCCCTCTATACTGTCACCATTAAATACCCCCATGATAGGAACAGCAGAAATAAAATACAGAGTAAAATTGCCACTACACTGTCCCCATCAAACACTCCCAG